GGTTCTCTACAAGAACGATTCCCATCCCTAACGATGTTAGAATTAACACGTTTTAGGAGAACCTGCCCTATTTAGCTTACCTCTTTCAGGTATATTTATTAATTGTTTGTTCTTTTGGTTTGTTTTAAAAAAATAAATATGTTTTGTAAAATTCAGTCTATGACTCTTGTGATTTTTGTTCTATCCTTTATATGATGCAGCAAAGACACACAGATACTTTTCTGAGACAAGGCTTATGGAGCAAACACTGCAAATACCTCAGAAAGCCCCATCTGATTCTGCATAAGGACAGCAGACTCCAGAGCATGAAGTATAATTCTTTCACAAACATTAAACATCTCGAACAAATGAGTATCTGCATAGAAACCATTTACAAATCATAATCAAACATTCAAACGTACACTGTAGTACACAAGCAGATGGAACAATTGAATTTAAGATGAGTCAGGAAATATAATATTGGACATTTTTATCCCATCTTACATATATAACATGACTGAACACAGACAACAGTGCTGCTGTAGGTAAATGAAACTGTCCTATTGCATGCCTTAACATGTAATAAACTTGGTTAATAGTAAAAATCAATTAGATGTTGCTTATGCAGTTATGCAATATTTCTTTAAAGTTTATTGACTATGAGTTTAATTCAAAACGCTTAAGGTTACTTGGCAAAGGTGTCTTTGTGTCATTAGCATTCATCACATAAGTTAGCACTGGTGGTGTTGATTTACATGTTATTATGTGTTTATTATGTGTTTACTGTGCTAGTGTTACTTTTTCCCCCGTGTTTTTCCATTGCCAGTATAACCTGATGTTTTATATGGAAATGATGAAATAGTTTGTGCCCACATCCATTTAAGGGCTAAAAATGAAGCCAAAGCCAAGCTTGTCTGCGTTTTAAGATTTCACCAACATGTGAATATCGCCAGCAGACTATAAACAATTATAGTTCACCATTAGCGTTTTTGGCAAAGAAAGACAGACAGATAGATAACCATTTAGTTTATCACTTAAAAGAGCAGGTGAACAACTTCATTTAAATTGGTTATATGTCTGTGTGTTTACAGTAATGAACAAGAGCTCCTTTGCATTATACTCAATACATGAAAATGATATACCTCACACACAGTGTTGGGAAGGTTACTTTTAAAATGTATTCCATTACAGATTACAGATTACATGCCCCAAAATGTATTCTGTAACGTATTCC